GATATGAAGATATAGTTATATCAGTTTATTAATTGAACCATAAAAGTCAACATTGACTTTCTTCATGATATCAATATACATATCCTTTCCATTATAGCTAAACGAGTATCTGTACCATTTGGAACCTGCCAATATTGGTGGGTTTCCTACCCTATGTAAGAAAGGTCAGGTTTGGTGGACTTCTCAGAATGCTCAGTCAACACCTTCCACCATTCTCAGTGTGGCTGTGTCTGCCCTGTTAAAAAGAAAAGAAACTGTAAGATCTTTGTCTTCATTGTCTTCTACACTAACTTAAAGTAAAAATGTGACATGACATTGCAACACTGTTTTCTTTCATTTTCCTTATTTGCTTTTAATTAATATACTCAAATATTTTCAGTATAAATTACAAACGTCCATTTACTTTAAGTGTATCTAATGAATCAACTTTCATTAGCACTTTATTCCCATTGACAAATCTGCAGAAAGAGAATCTGTAGTACAGCTGCTTGAAGTTACAACAGAACTTTATCATTTCCACAATTTCACATCCTATGGGACATGTGTACTATTCTAGAATAATATTAACATAATCCTTGGCTGTTTTCACTCACTTTCATTAAGAATATTCATATATACATATGAATATATATATATATATATATATATATATATATGAAAATACTTCTTCAAATGATCAAGTAAATCCACACTAGAGTTGCATTTTCATTTTTAATTTGGTTTCTAATTCACACTGGTAACATGTCTTTGAAATTGTAATTTAGGACATCTGGTCTCTTCTGTACATCCTCCAATGTAAAGTATCTTCTTCATTTGCCAGTATAACAGATATGTCAGGCTCCTTAAAGACTATCACAAATACCTCATTTTGTACCAGCATACAATGTATTATGTTCCTGTTGGGTGGGTTTTGCATATATAGATGCAAGTATACCAGCACAAATGCACTGTTACCATCTGTTTACTGTATGTGCAGGACACCAGTGCAATGAGATATTCAAGGCACTGAATTAGAAATGAAGATACTAAGTGATGTAAAGTCCTCCAATGTTTGTGCTTTGGTAATTTTAATATTGTGAAAGTGGTCATCATACCAAAAAAAAAAATCTACAGATTCAGTGAAATTCCCATTAAAATCCCATTGCAATTCTTCATAGAAGTGGAAAACTCATGAACACATCTCCCTTATAGAAACATATAAAGTAACTCAAGTGAATATTGACTTGTATTCTGGTATAATTTATAAGGATTTCTGAAATAGCCTTGAATAGTGTAATTTACACAAAGAGCTGATTATTATAAAATAAAAATATTCATGAACTCTGAAGGGTTAAACATTCCCTTGCCTAGAATAGTAAACCTTCATTTAAGATATGATCTGTTATATGATAATAAATAAGCACACATTTGTCATAAGTATATGAATTTTCCCTTTAAAAACTGAAAAAAAATTCATATTTCAGAAAACTGCTTCAGAACTTCAGTGGGTAATGACTTTGCTTCACAAGCGTTAGGACCTGAGTGAAGAACCCGAGAATCCATACAAAGATGAATGTGCTGGCTAAAATCTATCATCTCAATGCTTCAAAGTTGAGAGGAGAAGAGGAGAGGAGAGGAGAGGAGAGGGGAGGGGAGGGGAGGAGAGAGGAGGAGAGGGAGTAATTCTGCAAAGTGAATGGACATGTGCCAGGAGCCTGGGAAACACATTATCCTTTCCCTAAAACCAGATGGAAAAGGAGGTCTGACACCCAAATTATCCACTGATTTCCACATGTACTTTGTGGTACACACACACACACACACACACACACACACACACACACACACACACACACACATTGTTTTTCTCTCTAAACCCCATACACTACAAACTTACACAAAGCGACAAATCATATTAAAATAAATTTCTTTAAATTATTACCAGTACTTCTACAGCAATTCTTCTTTAATTATATTTTTTATATCTATATGTCTATGGTTGTATAAAAAGTTTCTCAGTTAAAACATTGTTGAAAGGGGAGAAGCTTAAGAATCCCAGATCTAGTCCATGGTTGGGTAAGTAGAGTCTATACAGAGGGTAAGTAAATACTGATGTAATTGATATAGGTTGGTTAATTTTGTCAACTTGACACAAACTAAAGTCACCTGAGGAGGGGAATCTTAACTGAGGGAGTGCTTTCATCAGATTGGCTTACTTGATTTTGGAGGTAATTTCTTGGGGAGCATTAGTTCTGTATAATGCTGCAAAGAAGGATTACAAATAAAATGAATAACCACACAGACAACAGCAAAGCCACTCAAGTGTTGCTTTTCCTGGACATTACAGGAAATATTTTCATTACTGGAGAAAGAAACATAAATTTATATTTATATCAGGAAAGCAATGAAGATTTCTTTAGAATTATTCTTAAATATGACGTTACTGGCTTAGTGCATGTATAAATGATAAAGAAGAAAAAAGACATACTCCTAAAGGATCATTGAAGTAGTCCCTCCAGGTGTGATACAAAGAAGCAAACCACACAAAGAGATAAGAATGAACACCCAGTACACATTCACTTCATTAACCAGGATCAGACTTTCCAGGCATCTAATAACAGATGGTTCATTACTGATATATTTAAATCCAGTATAATTTGGAAAAAAAATTTACAGGTCTAATAAATTGCCTTGCACAAGGAATCATAATTGCACTGAGGTTCAACTCAGAGTACATGTCATTTATTCCAAGGAATGGGTTCTAGGCTACCTATACTAGCTTAAGGGCCTAAGGTCTGGCCTGGTCATACACACAGTGTTGAGATCTTAGCCAGCTCTGGTCCTAATTGTGAGAGCCTACAGAGGCTGGGATAGAGGGATCTGGCTATAATGGTTGTGTAGATTATTCTCCACTTCTGGTCCTGGTTGTAGCAACTTTATATGTTCTGGACCAACAGCTAACACATATCATGAGGAAGTTAAGCATTTACAATTCTTAGCTTTCTGGATGGAAAAGTAGGTTTTCACTTTTGCCACTGGAAAAACAATCCTGTGTGCTTAATATTCCTGGTTTCTCTGGAGATCTATGGGCACAGGGACCTTCATGCTATGCGCCCAACAGATCATAAAGACATTTTACAAGACTCATATGTCCTCTATTTTGCTACAGAAGACACAAAGTTAATTTTTTTTTCAAGAGAGGGTTTCTACGTGGCTTTGGAGACTGTTCTGGCACACACTCTATAGACCAGAATGGTCTCGAACTCACAGAGATCTGCCTGCCTCTGTCTCCAGAGTGCTGGGATTAAAGGCATGTGCCACCAACACCAGGCTCAAAGTTAATTTTATACAGCATGTATATGTATTTCAGGTTATTGCATTTTATATTTTAAATATTCCTAATAATTATATTAATTCAATAAATTGAAATTATAAAAATAGATATGTATAAAATTGTAAAGAAAATAAGTAGAATAAACTGTCACTGCTGAAGTACTGTAATTGAATACAAACTATCTCTGTGCCCAAACAAAAGGCACCCAACATATATGTGTTTTCTCTTGATAAACATTTTATCAGGGCAACTTTAATATATTTGTTTCTCAAACTATTGATTCATGAATTTATCCTGAATGGGACCCACACTTAACACTTATTGACTTACTGGTGGACACCCAACTAAAACTATGCTGCCCTGTATCCCAGGATACCACATTTTTCTATGTTTATTGGCCATTTGCAAGGTCTTCCATTGCATGTATTTTGAGACATTTGCCCACTTATTAAATGATCTTTAATTTTTACATATTTTGTTATCTCTATAATCTGGACATGGCTTTATTTGGTATATGTCCTACAATTATTCTTCCAGTCTGATACACCTAAAATATTTTATTGATATAAAGTACTCACTTTAATGATTTTATTTGCTTTTTCTTCTATATTTTATGTTTTTTGAAAGATGACACTTAGCCTGCCCAATCATATATTCCAAAGAATTATATTTAAGTTTTTATGTATGATTTTGGCCCATTTTAGAGGAATCAACATAGTGCATGCTTTCTTTATGGGTATTTCTGATTTCAGAAGAAATTATTTAAATTATTTTCTTTTCCTTATGAAATCAGTATGTTGATTTGTTGTAAGTCAATGAAATACTTCCATGAAAATCTGAGTATTCTATTCCACTCTGTGGATTTGTGTATTTTTACAATTAAAGCAATCTGTTGTGAGTATATCATCCCCATTTTGCATTTATTCCAGGAATTATCTGTGAAATGCAGCGAGGCAGAATCAGTGGGAAAAACCTCAGCTCAGAGTGAAAAATCTTATATGTAAAAGAGACATGGGGGAATTATGTGGGGAGAGTTCATAATGAAGACAGTTCTGAAATCGTTATTAGAAGGATCATAAGAAGTCTCCAAAGAAGCATTTCCTGTTAGAAGGGGCTCACTATGTGGAGATGCTGGTCAGCTGGTTAATACATACCAGAAAATGAACTGATTCATTTGAATAAGACTGTGTGAACTCTGGTGCTTTTGAGACATAACAAAGTGAGCAGAGTCTATGTGAAGGAGACTTGGCTACAGATTTACAGCCAGAAATGCTTTCCATAGTTGCCTCCCTGGATGGGCAGCGGAGTAGATTCTATAAGGCACAGTTGTTTATATCCAAAGTTAAATTATTTATTATATTTTATTATTACTTCCAGTTGTTAAAGTTTTCTGTGTTATCCAAACAAGATATATTGTTTCTATAGATACTTCCTTATCTCATCATTACCTAAAATCTTAAGAGTATGGTTGGGAAATTTATCAAAGAACAGAAGAATATGGCATAGCTTCTGTGCTAAATATGATTGTTATGATACAAGGAATAAGAATATCAGTAACAAATTTAAACACAAAAACAAAACACATAAATGCCACATTAGTATTAGCAAAGTATCTCACTAAAGACAGTAGCAAAAACTAAGATTCTTTAAATTTAAATTTTAGTTCTTTCTATTCTGATATTTCTAATTAGGATATGAATCTGCTATGAACTTTTATCACAACTTTCTTCAATGCTATTTTGACATCCTTGTTCCTCAAGCTGTAGATCAGAGGGTTGAGCATGGGAACCATATTAGTGTAGAAAACTGAAGAAACTTTTCCCTGCTCCATAGATTCAGAACGATTGAGGTACATGAATGCTCCTGATCCGAAAAACAAAGAAATGGCCATGACATGAGAACTACTGGTACTGAAGGCTTTTGATTTTCCTTGTGTGGATTTGATATTGAGAATGTTGGCAAGAATCAAAACATAGGAAATGAGGATGGTAAAGCTGGGGACTGTGATGTTAATACCCACAACTATGAGAACTACAACCTTGTTGACAAAGGTGCTGGTGCAAGAAAGTTGGAGGAGGGGCAGAATGTCACACAAGTAATGATTGATGACATTGTCATTGCAAAAGGTCAGTCTGAGCATGCACCCTGTGTGGGCAGAGGCTTCAGCAAATGCCATACCATAAGAAGCAGAAGATAACACAGAACATACCTGAGGGGACATGGTAACATTATACAGCAATGGATTACATATGGCCACATATCGATCATAGGCCATTATGTCAACATGTAGCCTTCAGAGATGACAAAAAAGAGAAGGAAAAACAGCTGAGTCATGCACCCAGCATAAGAGATGTTATTCTTCTTAGAGACAAAGTTCATCAGCATTTTTGGACTGAAGACAAAAGAGTAGCAGAGATCAATGAAGGAGAGTTTGAAGAGAAAATAGTACATGGGGGTGTGCAGGTGAGGATTGAGGCTAATCAGGGTGACCAAGCCAAAGTTTCCCACTACTGTAACAATATAGATCATTAGAAACAGATAAAAGAGGGGCAGCTGGAGCTCTGGATGATCTGTCAACCCAGCAAGAACAAACTCAGTCACCAAGGAGCCATTTCCAGCCAACATGCTTATCATTGCAAATCTGGAGAGACAGAAAAATATTTCATTGGCACACATCCTTCTGGTCTGTTTCTAAGCTTTAATCCATGGTAAAAGGACTGAGATAATTGAAGTTCTCCTTTGTTTCATGGCATCCAAATGTACTTCCATACCCTATCATGTTTTAGATGAATATAACTTGTATCTACATGAGTTATTTTTCTCCTTACACAAAAATAAAGAGACAGAATAGTCCAATAATGCCTGCTGGAAAACCTAGTGGGGCTCCCTTCAAAGTTTTCAGGTTGTCCAACCTTTCACTTCCCATTCCCTATTCCTGCTTAAACTGCTTACTGAACAAATCACTTCTCCAGTAATTGCCAGGATGTGAGCTTTGTTGTTGAAGAGACCTGCTCTTTCTCTGATTCCCAGAAAAAAATCTGTACTAAACTATTGGGCTCCTAGACATCCTACTTCAAATGTCCAAGGAACCAATCTTCGATAATATGGATGGGGGAATATCTGTGTTACCTTAGATTCACATGAAACCACATATTCTATTCCTACACATTCTGTTCCAGTGTAGCTTAAATTAGAGAGTGAATGCAGTTCTAAACATGCCTCCAATGGTATATTTGAGAAGAAAAGTTAATGAACATTACAGTGCTTGATATTTGTAAATGAATTTGTAAACAATTTTTCCAAATGTATTCTTGTGTAATCTTTCTGTTTGCGTGGCACACATCAAAGTTTTATAAAAGAGATAATCTTTCCTTACTGGATGCCGATACCTTGTTGATGTGTCACCTGATGTGGCCATTCTTGTCATGCTACCAGAGTAAGAATGAAGCCAGATTCAAATGAGACACAGTTACGAAGTAGAGCAGGAGCCCTACTGGAATTTCTTGTTGATTATAATAGCTGCCATTTAACTGCATGGGTGAAGGGGAGAAATTGGGGCCAGAAAAATAACCTCTTTCATACAATTCAGTGCTGACTCTTCATGAGTCTCACCTCTGTTAACCTGGAAAAAATGGCTTGCAATTGTCACAGCTAAGCTGACACAGCTAAAGAATCTTCTTTTCTTTAATCAGGGTATCCCTCACAATTAGGATGTTATGGGAGTCACTATGAGATGTAGCTGAAATCTGTAGTCAAGAATCTACTGAGAGGATATGAAGGAAAGCAACATACCAGACCTCAGAGACACCACATCCTAGAGCACACTGAACTGGCTTCCAGGTTTTCAATCTTTTAGACCTCATTAGAAATGCATGTCCCTTATGCCATCTCTAAGGTGATCAAATAGGAAGAACAGAAATAATGATGTTTGTGTTTCTACCCCAATTCCTGCTAATAGAGTTGAATTATTCACTGGGGATGAAACAATCCCTAGGGTGCACAAATATGGCGTCTATAAAGTCATTCATAACTATATAGCTAAACTATTTTATAATTCTAATATGAACTATATTAGAATTATAATTCTACTCTATTACTTTTAGTGTACAAAGTAGTTTTTAATACTCTTTTATAATAAATTTAACATCTTGAATACCATTATTCAATATAATAATAACCCCGCTTATTTCATAAGCACAAAAATTTCCATTCAACTGTTTTCTTTTTTTTTTTTTTGGTTTTTCAAGACAGGGGTTCTCTGGGTAGCTTTGGGGCCTTTCCTGGCATTTGCTCTGGAGGCCAGGCTGGCCTCGACCTCAAAGAGTTCTGCCTGCCTCTGCCTCCCGATTGCTGAGATTAAAGGCATGTGCCACCAACGCCCAGCCCATTCAGCTATTTTTGATGACAAATATCACCAATACAAAATAGTGGACTTTGTATGACATTTCACATATACATATAGTGGACTTGCATCACAATTACCTTTTCAGTTGTGCTTTCTTGCCTCCCTTTCTATTTTTCCTTTCTACATACAAATAGTTCTCCCTTTCGTGTACCTGCTTTCAGTATTCTCCATGTGAACAGAAAGGTATGATTCTTACCTTTGTGAGAGTGACTTCTTTCACTTTTTAAATTCAGCTTTTTTTTGTCTTTTTCTTTTTTTATCCTGCAGATTTTTTATTTGAATTAGAAACAAGATTGTTTTACATGACAATCCCAGTTCCCTCTCCTTCCCCTCCTCCCCTACCATCTGCCCCCCAACTAAAACCCTACCTATCACATATCCTTTCTGCTCCACCTGGATGGTGAGGCCTTCCATACCATCTATTTTCTTACAAAGGACATTTTTATTCTACTATATAATTGAATAAAACTCTTGTTGTACAATATTTGAGAAATCATCTCACTATGTAACTGACGCTGGTCTGAAACTTGCTATTTAGTGAAAACTATCACTGTACTAAGAATCCCCCCACTTACCCTTCCATGTGCTGAGGGGACAAGCATCTACATCCATGCCCAGATCACTTCTCATCCACAGATTGGCATATAGACTGATTCTATAACATGGCTTTATGAACTGTGTTCCATTATGATCGATATCACACAGAAGTGACTTTTACTTTGGAGAACACATTCTCTGCAGAGATATTACTAGTTCATTAGTAAGTTCACTTTTCTTTTTTTACTTCATTGGAAATCTTCCTATATTGGTTTTCATGATGAGTGTACTAATTTATATTCCACCAACAAAGTAACAGGGTTCTTTTGGTAACATATACTCAATAAAGTTATAATGTTAATGTGTTTTCTTTTTTTTTTCTTGATGGTAGTATTTTTGGCTACAGTAAGTTGGAATCTTGATGTAATTTTGATTTATATTTCCTCATGCTTGAGAATACTGACAATATTTTCACAATTTAATTGATTGTTTGTGCATCATCTTTTGAGAATTTTGTTTATGTAGTTGGCCCATTTGCTGACTGGATTGGTTTTAGTGTATAATCATTGAATACTTTTCATACTTTAGATTATAATCCCCTATCAGAAAAATAATGCCAAACACCTTGTTATATTCTAGTGGTGTATTATGACACTCCAAAATGAAATAGCACACAGACACACACACACACACACACACACACACACACACACAAATATATTTCTATGTAGACCCTGCAAGATGTTTCAGGGGATAAGGGGAGTTGTTGCTAAACCTGAAAACCTGAGGATGGAAGGAGAGAACTGACTGCAGCAAGTTGTCTTCTCCCTGCACTCCATATTAACTTACATTCTTCGCTCATAATATATCCTGATTATAGTTTTTTTCTCATCTATTTCTCCCACCTCTCTTCCCAACCAGATGTACTTCTTTTCATTCGCTCATTAAAAGAGCATGTTTCTAAGAGATAATAACAAAATAATAATAATAATAACAACAATAATAATAATAATAATAATAATAACAATGACATTAGACAAAGAAAACAACAGAAGAAAAAGAGCCCAAGAGAAGGCACAAGAGTCAGAAACCCACTCATTCCTACACTCAGGATTGCAATAAAAATACTAAACTGAAAGCTACAATATTGATGCTGAAGACCTAATGTAGAACCATGGAAGACCTGTTCTTGCTGCTAGTATCTGTGAGTTCATATGAACTTTGCTCAGTTGATTTAGTGGAACTGTTTCTCCTGTTGTCTTCCATCTACTCTGAGTCTTATACTCCTCCACCTTCAGTTCTGAAGGAAGCGATTTCATGGAAACATCTCATATAGAGTTATGTGTTCCAAGGTCTTCCTTGCTCTCTGAAAAACATATGATTTCATATTGTTTCAAATCTGCTTCAGGAGGAAGTTTTTCTGATAATGGTTGATAAAGCCACTATTATTAGGAGTCATTTTATTACTCCAATTTTTTTTTTAAAGACCAGTAGTATTGTTTTACACTAGGTCTTTGGGCTTTCTACTCTCTGGTTCTTGTCACTCAAGCAATGTTGGGTGTGGGTTCCATCTCTTAGAATGGGCTTTAAGTTAAATCAGTTACTACCACAAGTTTTGTGTTACCATTGCCCTAGAATATCTTGCACTCAGTACACCATGGTAGAACAAAGGTTGTGTGATTCACTTGCAGTTTATATTTCTTTTTTTATGGAATGTAAAATAGCTTCCTGTACCAAAGATACTAGAATGTAGGAGTGAAGACTATATGTAGGCATCAGCTCAACACCTGCATATTAAATGAATTGTGTGGGTGCTGTCTTCAGCAGTGGGTGCTTGCTGTCAGTTTGTTGAGAGCAATCTATAGTCTTGGCATCAGCTAGGGATGTTTGGGGATTTCATGAGATCCTTTTATTCAACAACTCAATTATATGTAACCCAATCCTGGTACTGGAAACTTCATTTGTTGGTAAGAGATGGCCAGCTGGGACTCTGTGTCCCCATTATTTGGTGTTTTCCTTTAGATCATACAGATTAGGAAGTTTTTAATATTTGGGCTTCCATATTATTCCTCAAATATCCCTTAATGTTAGTTGTCTCTCCATGTATTCACTCTCACAACTACCCACTTCTCCTTTTCAGCCCCACCCATATATCCATATTATTTGTTCAATTTCCTTTTCCTAATACTATCTATGTATGAATATGAACATGTTCTCTCAGATATTTCTTAGCCTTTATTTTTCTTCTTTTGAGTATTCTCCATTCCAGTACCAGACCTATTGTTTTGAATGGGTCAAATTTTTGCGGGGGGGGAGGTCTTTAATGTTCTGGATATAACTTACTTGTACTTTTGCAATTTTCTTCATTCCTTTCTTTTATCATATCTTTTCTTTTTCCTTAAAATTTTTCCTAATCTTTCAATATGTTTTAGGAAGTCCTCAGACATGGAATCTTCCAGTTTTAGCATCCATAGTCCTGGGAATATAGGCATACATCCATATATTTTGCTTGCAAAATTTGAATTGTATCTACTTTTTGCATAAAAATATAATTTTAATTATTTTAATATACACTTCATGGAATAGAGTATATTAATATCAGTATACCACTATATAACTACCACCAGTAGCCAAGTATGAAAGTCTTTCAATTCTGTATCATTTACACATTCAACCCACAATTATTCTTACCCTGAAGTCCAAGACAAGC